ACTATGTACATACTTATAAAAAAGTAAAACATCTCACTTGTTGTAACAACATCGAGGTAAAATATGGTATAATATATCAAAGACTACTATGCAATTGTGTTGTTGGTTGCGTTTTGGATTTCTAGACGAAGAATGTCCCGTGAATAACCTTGTATTTTCTGTCTCCCGATAACGTGAACCTTGATATTCCGTGTCTCTAGACGCTTCTTCGGAAGTTGACTCCAGAGGATTGTTTTAATTAGGAGTTCAACAGTGACGTCTCAAGATATTTAAGTCATTGACCGGCTAGACGCGTCACGAGCGGCACTTAATAATTGCGCCAATGAACTTCATGTCCATATGAATAATAATAATTAATAATGAGCGCACGCATGTTCTTCGTATGCATTTAAATCTCTGTTTTGTGATAAAAAATTAAGTTAATTTACGTCGTTGTTAATAAAAAATTAAATTAATTTACGTCGTTGTTAATAAAAAATTTTACTTTATATCTAAGGGTGTAATGACAAATATTATGTGTAATTCTTTACATGGCTGCCTGTACGTGTAGATGAAGCCACTTAACTTAGCGAAATAAGTAAATCACGTATGAGAAAATATATAACTGTTATAATTCCTTGAAAGCTATTTACAATAATAATATAAGCTACCTATAATACCAGGGTTTAGTTAAAAAGGTGAATATCCTGAAAGTCAATTCACAGGAAGGGCCGGGGGAATAGTGTTATATGAGTTTTATAAAATAAGTGGTGTCAAACGATACGAACAGAGCAAACTATCTTTATGAAAACAGTAACACTATCAGTAATAGTGTTATTATCATTTAATATTCAGTACAATAGAAACGTCATTTAAATTTAAACAGAAGCACACAATATTTGTTTAGGGAACTAACCAATAACTTTTGTAATAGCTTGCGGCGACAGTCTAGATTGAACGGAAATAGTTTAGTTCAAATGTAATAAATAGATTTATAACTATTAAAATTAATAAATTAAATAAAATAACGATTTCCTATTAATATAATTAAATTAACATGTCTTTTTGTTTAGTTTTCACTACCAATTATACGTAAAACAACAAGACAGAAAGTGTTGTAAATAAGGGTATAGTGGACATACTGTGAGAAGAATATGCTGGTCTGTGGTTTAGACTAAAGCAATTATAACCAAATAATATTTTTTGACGAAACCTATATTGCGTGTCAAATTTTCCCATAGCCTTAAAAATGTACGATGACTATATTCACGGAAGGGAAACTACACGGATACACCTAATGTGTTGACTTTATATTTAACCGGCTTGTTACTAGACCGTTCGATCTAGATTTTTGATTTGTAAACTTTCTATATTAAGATATTTTAATTTGATCACAGTTTGTCGAACGCACCTCCTAATAAATTTTAATTTGCGAAAATACATATTTTCGTGGAAAAATGACATTTTACCATAGGCTTTTTAATGCATTTTTATTTAGATAAATATTTTTGTCCCAACACGGTCTAAATTCATGTGAATCCTTCCGAATGCTTTTACGTATAGTTTATTGGTGTGTTCTTTACAAAGTATTTCCACTCTAACAAAATATGATATGATATATTATGTTAAAACGCAATTCAGATTGCCATAGTTGTCATACATGCCTTTTGAAGCGTATTTGTTCGGGATGCTGGAAAACTAAAGGTCGATACGTACTGCGAGTTTAAAATAAGAACATAATTTGATAACAGGTATGTTGTGATTAAGCTTCTAGATGGATTCTCAGATTGTTTTCTACGAATGACGAGAGTGATAAAATTGTTTTAACCGAGTTGTCGTGGGGATAACGTACTTAAGTTAAAACATGACTGAAATTTTTCCAGCCATAACAAACATTCGTGTCCAGCATTTTCTGGTGAATATGATTTATCGACATCAAAAGATAGAAGTTTTAGACAGTTTTAGACTCCAGACACACTCGATGGTAATCAAATTGTGTATAACGTTGGAAAGCACAAAGACCAAAGTAAAAATAAACTAAAAAAAAACATTGTGCATTCTAAATCCTAAAGTGTTGCATGCAGACAAAGCAGTGGTATCAATACAGTCTACTAGAGCAAGAATGAAATGAAATAATATTCTCAGATCTCTCACAGCATGTGTTTTTAGTAACAGCTGGCCATTTATATTATCCGAGAAGGAAATTATTTCAGGAGTAAACATATGCGAACAACATTTATCCAGCTGCAATTTTAAATTATTGTTGAACAACAATTATTATTCAGTTGATCATATTAAGTACATAACAATTAGGAAGCATCGACTACAGAAAGTCTAAGATTATTTTACAATTAAATGAGAACTGCTTTCGTTTTATTCATAAAGCATCTTCAGATATCATATTGTTCAAATTCAGATAACAAACTACAAACCTCTGATACAAAGCTAATATGAAAGAACATTTTTTTATTTGAAACCATTACCACTTTTAATAAGAAAAATAAAATACAAGACCAAAATAACTGAGCTGTATTAGGACATTACTATCAGTGTTAACGAGTATGAAAAATTGGTGTACATAGCAGAGAATTCACGATGGCAACTAATTACTCATATTAAATTGGACAATTGTTACTAAATTATTCCTACTTTATTGTAGATCTTCCAGGTAAGAGGCTGTATGTATTGATTTAGGAGAGAGGACGGGACATTACTGCAAATAGATTTATAAATCATTGCTCGATTATCTTGGTAAAATTAGGCACGACTGGTATTGGCTGGTAATTTTTTACCTGTATATTATCGTTTTTCTTTGGACCCCGACCCATGCAATTTTAGCATGTTTCCATTAAGTTATAAAAGAAAATAATCTTTTTTGTGGTGAATTAAAATTCATGGGATTTTATCATCACCAGCTATTTTTAATATAATAATAACGGGTCAGACAATTTTAATAAATATTTTTTTGTTAGGACAATGGAAAAACGTAAAAAGCCTTTACAAAATTGACTTTTCAATCTGTACTATACAATAGAATCTTTGTGATCCGTTTTATGACATGCAGTTAATTCTCGTATGGCGTTAATTATACTAAAACTTTGAAGAAAAACAATTTCTTTTGGATCTTATTTAGTAATAAAAGAAGGTAAGAATGAAGTAATATAAACTAATTTTCTTTATAATTTCTAAACGTAGTTAGGCAAGTTTTCTTCGGCAGAGTCACAAGTACATTAGATAAAAAAATAGTATTAATGTTCTGGACGCATTGAAATAACTGAACGTTTTCTCTTTAACCTGAAATAAAGATACACCTCTACTTTTACTTCCCGAGTGTAAGCTAAGGAAACATTGTAATCCAGTTCATCGGGTTAATGGCTACTTTCACATTTTCTCGATCTCTACAGTAGAAAAAACATAGGACTGCCGTTTCCGTCTGTCTGTCTGTCTGTCCGCCGTCCGCGTGTATATTTATTATATTATTTTACTTTAAATTGTATATAATAACATAGTCATATACGTGTAGTTTATGAATCCGTGTAGATCTTTTACCCGAGACATTCAAAGTTTTGGAAAAAAAATTAAAATTATATAACAATATTTTGCAATTTAATTTTGAAACTGCAAAATTGCAAATGCTCTGAAATCTTGCAGACGTTTTAAAATTGTCGTAAGTATGGTAAATTTCTAATCAAAATACACGTGTTTATTCCTTTATCTACTTATATTTATCTCCTTTCAAAAAATTGAGGAGGTCATCTAAAAATCTTGCCGAATGAATGCTTTCGAAAATGTGCAAAACATGATGACTTGTGATTTATCATTGCATTCATATTTATTATCCTACTTATAGGGGTTTTCAGAAAAAAAATCTCTAAGTCAAATTTTGTAATTTTTCGAAAAAGTTGGACATGTTTTATTCTATGTATTGTACAGTAAGTGCTGAAAACGTTGACCATTTTGTTGTAAGATAGATGAGCTCTTCGTTTAACTCCATCGATTATATGGTTCAACATTTCTGTACCAGTTCCATTGGATAATTCCTCGTGCTCCGTTAAGTATCGCGTGGATGTTTAAGGGGTCTGCTCTATTATCTGTCTAACATTTCCATTATTTTTTGGAGTTCTCTTATCTTTAGACCTGTCACTTCCCTCTTTTCTTTATAACGGAACTTTGTCATACATCGTTGTAATGCGTTTCAAAAATGGGAACAGTCGACGAAATTTTTTAGGAAATTCTTCTCAAAAGTCATTCCAAGCTACTTGAATCGTATACTCCTACATGCCGTTTACTTTCTGTCTATTTCGAAAATACCATTCAATCATAAACGCTCTCTACTACAATGAAAATGCCATTTTTGAGTTTTTAAGTAAAAATGTAAATAAAGTTCTCAAAAAAACTGTTTTTAATGTAAAGATTGTTTCTGCAGGAAGGAATAATAAGCAAGAAAACAAGAAAAGTAAGATTACAAGGGACGTTTTCGGTGATAGTTGTTAAAGTCGTAGCGAGATTGACGTAAAATTTAAATCAAAGTTAAAAATCAATTTATAAGATCTTAGTTTTTGCCTGTTTGAGTATTCTGTTTCAAATTTTGCTATAACATAACTTTAGACGCAGCGTTAAACATATTATTTTAGGGAGACTATATATGTCAATTCCAAGGATAACTCGATTACAAATTATGTTACTTGCCAGGTATAATCCAACATAAATTGCATGTTTCTGTTTATAGCAAATAATAATTATTAAAAAAATTGTAGAAAAAACTAGAATTTTCCTTGTTCTCAAGCCATGTCGCAAAATGAATAATTTTATTTTTGAAGATTCTTTATCGTATAATTAGTTTCCTGTGACAAAAACAGTTCATGAGATTGTGATAACTAATTTGAGGTGAAATACCCTGTATTTGAGAATCCACTCACTTTAAGGTGTACATATTACAAATCGTGGAGCTATAGGAAAAAATTATGTTTGATTTGCACTGAACGTTAGGACTAAAAACTAAAGATTAAGAAAAAACTTACTAATGCTTAGATAATATTGCGTCCCGATTTCGTACGGCTCCCACACAAGTCCACGATACCGCGTCTTTTCTCGGAGAGTCCCGTAATCTGGGACGTCCTTGTGAATCCCCGGAGCGTTGGGATCGCCCGTCTTGGCAAAGTTGCTGAAAAAGTTGAGCACTGCCTCCGCCACTCCCATGTCTTGCTTGCTGAAGTTTTGGGCGAAGAATGGCATGCCCCCGACCAGGGGCATCCCGAGTATATACGTGACGTCTTCACCCCTCACGCTTCCCAGCCGCTGAAAACGAAAATTAATTAGACAACTTCATTAATAAAGATTTGACAGATAAATGCAAAACTTGGAATTGAACAATATTGTACCCAGACGGAACGACGGAATGCCTCCAACGGGTCTCTATTAGAAATTTAATTAGGAAGTGTAAGGATGGAGGTAACTGTAATTAGCAAAATAAAACTGGAAGTTTAATCATTATTCTGGATCTATCGGGAAGGCTTTGAATAAATTGTTCGAAATGTGGACTGCGCTTTTGAAATTCGATGGCTATTCTCTATTCTATTGGCACCAAACTCTGCTGACAATTTTGAGAATTTATTGCGTTTACAAGTGCTGCCGACAATTTAAGGAATGTGGTGGATACATTCAGAAAAAGATATGTAGTACTTGAAGCAATGTTTGTTTAGAGGATATTCTGAATTTCAAATGACCTGAATGGAGATATTAGCCCAGCGAGATGCTATCTTAAGCATTCAGACGAAAAAACAAGACAGGAAGAAGGATCTATGGTGGAAGCGCAACAAAAATTGTGCGGCTACTTGTTTTACATTATATTGAATTGCATGTGCATGTTAAGTAAGAGGTAAAAAGGCGAGTGGAATGAAAAACACTTTTAATAAAAGGACTCTCTATCGAGGCATATCTTGAGAGACTTCAGCTTTAAGATGTTCCCGGTAGGTATTTAAAATATTGATTCGAAACAAAAAGCAGGTATTTGATAAAAAAAGGCGAACGAGAGGAACATGCAATTTAAAAAGACGCAGGATGTCACCCTCATCGTTTTATAAAATACAGTGTGCAGCTTGGAAAACGTTTGTGTTGACATACATATTTGATGTTTATCGTTCCACCTTCCACTATTTACTTCCACACATCGGTGTAAGCATATTTTGTAGATAAAGAAGTATATTATCTACATTGTTATAACTAAAACAGCTAAAATTGTATAACGACTATTTTCAGTTAAATATATCATGTAGTTAACGAATTGTCGTTGACGTGAAAAACGTTTGTGGAATATTAAAACATTTTACTTATTCAAACGGTTGTCTTGTTAGGTATAAAACAATTTGTGGTGGTTGTTTTTTGCAAGGAGCATTTGAGGCGGGATTATAAAGAATTTAAGTTTAAGATCGCAATAAGTGCATGTTCAAATCTCCTCCAAATACACTTAGTAATAGGTAATAATAGTCAATAGTTTCTCACTGAAGAATTAACTACACTTTTGTCAGCTGTGAAGACTATAAAACAGGTTTTGGTTAATAATTTGTCTAACTTTGGTTCATTGCTTTAAATATATTTTTCGTTTTCCAACGATTTTAGATATTCTAGATAATATTGTCTAAGTGAATTTTATAATGGTGGATTTTTTAGTTTGTTGGTAACATAATTAATATTATTAATGTAAATTGGCTAACAGGTAAAGCAGGATATAACTTTCATTCATACAGTGCCACTAAAAATAAATTTTAACTTTCGTGACGTGATCGAAAATATGTCTATTTCCTTTTTAGATGATATATAATTTTTTCTTAGAGTCTCACCTTTTCCTTTATTTAAGTTTTTATTTGTATGAGTATGTCATACATTTTTAATTAGACACATTCAAGTTTTACTTTAAATCTACCTTAACTGCATTTGCTTGGTTTATTAGCTCTTTTGTTCTTTATTATGCCTAATTACGTAAACTGAACTAAACAACACTTATATTACGGAATCGAAAGTTTCTAATTTCGTTGTTTCAAAAACGTGCACTCACGTGCGAACTACTTTTGTGCTTTGTTTAAATTTTAATGCGAAAAAGTCCTTTTTCAAAAGAAGTTGTCTTTTGGGGTGCATTTTATAATAGTAGAGAGAGTTTTGTTTTTAAAGATCTTAAAAATCTGCACGGAGATCTATTACTGTTATATACTCTGACTAAGTCTAACATAATAAGTAGTAGCGATTTGTACCTATGACATCAAATACTGATATTTCTCATTTCAAATGAGGTTATTTTCGATGGTAATTATTTGTATTATTTTTTCTGTTGATTCAGATATATGTATATTGGTTTGGAAAAGACGGAGTATTGTGTAGAGCATGTTGGGACGACCGAGAAGTTAGAAAAAAATGTGAAGAATCCAGAAAATGACCTTTCAAATATACCTATAGTTGCAGAAATTGTTTAATCGCTTTTTCCAAGATTTTACGTATTGTGCTTCAAATAAAATTGTCACATGTTCATAATATAATACAATAACCTCAAAAAGATCTGTTATGGTATATCTTGCATGAGTGCATTAAAACAAAATTAGGAAAAGATTTGAAAAGCGCGGCTAAATCAAGCTTTTCAAATGCCAGGTTTCCGGACGTGCACGTCTAAGTCACTAAGCAACTAAGTAAGCAGTAAACAAGTTAATTCAGTTAGTAACATACAGCTTTTCTAACCCCTCATACGATTTTCAACGGGTCAGAAAAGATTGAAAGCGGTCAGTAATGAACGTAAGCAGTCAGAAATGAAGCTATTTCCGACCTCTGAGGGCGCCACTGTTGATTTAAACTAAAAATGTGAAATTAAGGTAACTATAGTTAATTTAATAAAAATTTAATTCTGTCTAATATTTTATCGCAATAAACCATAATATTACAGAGGTAAGTTTTTTTACTATTATAATGTTGCTTTATTTAAAAAATAAGATAGTATTAGCTTAATGACAATTGGATGAAAATGATAAAAACAGGGTTTCTTTATTAGAATGTTATGGGACATAAAGTCAAATACCTTACCAAGATCTAAAAATGTGGTTAAAATATAAATATGTAGTTAACATTTTGAAAAAAATGTATAATAGTCTTTTCTATGGATTAAGATTATAGGGTCCAAATTGATTACTAGAAAAAAAGTTGTTTTCATTAAAATATTTAAGAATTTGTTCAACCATTAATCTTTCAAAAACTTAGACATCACAGGGAGTAGAGAAATATGTCTGTAATATAATATAGTTATTAACATCGTTGACAATACCTGCTTTATGTAATGAGACTGCTTTCAAACAATTTGGTAAAACAGAGCGAGTATTGTTTTTATTAGTTATTTTAGTTAATGGTGCAATAAGTATGAATTCAACTGGTTTGATTTGGTTAGCATTTAAACCATAAATATCGCTACTATGTTTTTTAATTTACTTAATCCGTCACGAATTTGTATGTCACCGAGCGTTCCAAATGAAAAAAAAAATATGGTCGAAAGTTGTGTCTACAGAACTTCCCTCGCACGTAAAGTACAATGAAACATATCCAGCATTTTCGAGTTGAGTTTTTTCTTTACTCAAGTTTGTGATGACGTCATCAACATTTTTGTAAGTACACAACGCAACTTAGATTATATTGTAAAGTATCAGTTTTGCGATTCTAGATTTAATCAATAAAATAAATTGACCCATATGAATGGAATGATACATGACAAGTACAGACTCATCATATTTTGGACATTTTGGATAGGATTTATTCGGCAAAATTTTTGAGCTGACGTCATCAATTTTTTGGAAAGGCTAAAAATATATCTTGATTAAAAATTCATCATGCTTATCATAACTTTAAAACAAATGCAAGACTTGAAAGTATTTAGTTTTGCAGATTCAAAATTAAATTGCAAATTGTCGTTTTTTCAAAAATCTGGTAGAAACTCAACACGGAGTCATAAACTAGAACGACATAGTTCTATAATTTTATACAATTTAAAACCCATTTACTATGTACAATTTTATTTTATTCTTGGTGGAGATAACTAGACAAATGATATTCCTAATATAAATACAAAATTTGACAACAATCAAAGATTATCTGCCTAATAAGAATCCAGGGACAGCATACAGATGGACAGATAGATAGATAGACCGATGGACGGACAGACGGACAGACGGACATACAGAAGACAGACAGACAGAAATAGGAGACCTGTCTTTTCGTACTATAGGGGTCATGAAAGGTCGAGAAAACGTAAAAATGAATGATTTTTGGGTACTTTTATGTTTTCTCGACGCTTCATTACCCCAAGAGTACGAAAAAAGTAGTCTCTCGCTTCCGTCTGTTTGTCTGTCTGCCGGATTTATAGTAGACAGATAATTTTCGAAACTACCAAAATTTGGCTAGTCATCCCCACCAATAATTTGATGACGTCGTCTCAAAGGATTCTAAATTAAAATTATTTAAATTTTATACATAGTATATTCCTATACTTAAGGTGTACGAATCCACTTTGAGTTTTTTCCCTAAACACAAAATAATAAAGATTTTAAAACCATGACTGATGGATACTTAAGTAATCAGAAACAATGACTTATATATGGTCTTTTTGTAATATTATGTGATCGCTGGTAACTGACGTGGGCATTATAGGCTTGGCCTCTGCCAGATCGTCCATTTGTAATAGTAATACTAATACTAATAATAACATTTTACTACTAATATAGTTCTATGCCAAACTTGACAGCTTTTTTTTTTCTCTTGCGCTGAGACTAGTATTATCTGTGTTGATAACGTAATCACAAAGTTTTTCGGCCCGTTTTGCTCCATTGTAGCTTAATTAATGAAATTTGCCCGCTCCTCTCTTTTGAGGAGACAAAAACAATACAATTTCATTTTCTTTTAACGTAAACGCTTGTCATCCAAACGCACTAATCGTGAATTCTTTCGAAGTATAAACATAAGTAGTCGAAATTATGCGTGTAGTGAGACACTGAGAAAACATGTTTTTCCGTTGGTTATTTGTTTGAATTAAGTATATTACATTTTATCCCCATTTGTGCGGACTGCACCCCATCGGAATTCGTTTAGAATTACTTACACAAGGCATTGATTACACGATGACTTAAAAAATTAATAAATGGGTCTGTCAATGTATTTCATTGATTAAATTAGGAACGGCGCACTCTATTTTCCCGAAAATTTTGGAATACAATATTATTAATATTATTATTATTAGTATTACACTGCACCTATGCAAAGTGATATAGGTGTCC